TGCAAAAAATGGTCAGGCGTAACAAAGGCACTGATTTCGGATGCACGGTTAGTTAACGGAACCTGCCAGTATCCCTTTAGGAGGTCACGAAGGTTGCTGATCCGACACGGTCGACCAAGTCATCCATGCGTGGGAGTGGGAAAGAGTCTGGTTTTGTAACAGCATTTACTTTTCGGAAGTCATTACAGAAACGGGAGTTTTGATCGGGTTTTGGGACGAGAAGTGATGGTGAGCTCCAAGAGCTATTACTGGGAAGAGCAAAGCCATGGTCAAGAAGATACTGGACTTCTTGCTGCATTATGGCACGCTTAGTGGGATTTACTCTGTATGCATGTTGCTTAATGGGCTTGTGATCACCATCATCAATATCGTGACTTAGCACATGCGTTTGAGTGGGGATATCACCGAAAAGAGTTGGGCAATTTTTAATGAGCTCACGGACATCAGTTTTGGCGGGATCAGGCAGATGTGCTAAATGGACATCCAAGTTAGCCAAGATTTCAGAGTTCCTCAGACGCGCACCAGAAACAGAGCTGTGCCTATCATCCAACCCATCATCGCAGGGACTATATAAGGGTTGAGAGACAGACACCGACACAATAGGTAACACAGCAGGTGACAGCCTAGATCGAGAGGTCGAGAGTGGAAGTTAAACTTGGGGTGCGACCTCAGTTGCCAGTTGAGGGCACTGACATCATTCTCGGGAATGATTTAGCTGGATGCAAAGTTTTTCCTTTACCCGAGGTAGTCGAAACACCAATAGCAGACATAAGTGCCTCTGATGTCGCCGCAGCAAACTGTGATTCTTTGTTTCCTGTGTGTGCTGTGACGCGGGTACAGGCACGTAAGTATGGAGAGTTTTTGGATCTTAGCGACACTTTCCTAAGTGATTCAGACCCAACAATCTCGCCACCCGACTGTGAAAGTACCCCTGTGTCAGTAGAGCTTCAGCCTGATGAGAAAGCTATGACACTCTCAGTAGATAAAAACAAGCTTATAGAAGCCCAGAAAAATGATGAGAGCTTGTCATCTTGTTGGGCTTCTGTGACAGACCCTAAGTGTGGGAAATCTGCGTCTTACCTCATTGAGGATGGGGTGCTGATGCGCTACTGGACTCCCAGTTCTGGCTCTACACATGAGGAAGTGCAGCAAATTGTTGTTCCACAGTCATTCCGTTCCCAGGTCCTAAGCTTAGCACATGACCACATCATGTCTGGTCATTTGGGAATCACAAAGACATACAACCGTGTCCTCCGGTACTTCTTCTGGCCTGGTCTCAAATCTGATGTAGTAAAATTCTGCCGCTCGTGCCATACATGTCAGCTTGCCGGTAAACCAAATCAGGTGATTCCGGCAGCTCCATTAAAACCCATCCCAGTCGTTGGGGAACCATTTGAGCATGTCATTGTTGATTGTGTTGGTCCTCTTCCAAAAACAAAGTCCGGGAACCAATACCTCCTCACCATGATGTGTACTGCCACCCGTTATCCTGAGGACATTCCGTTGCGCTCATTAAAAACCCGTGGGATTGTGAAAGCACTTGTTAAGTTCTTTTCTACCTTTGGACTGCCTAAACGCATCCAAACAGATCAGGGCACAAATTTTATGTCTAGAATTTTTGCCCAGGTCATGACAGAGCTCGGTGTTAACCATCACACTTCCAGTGTGTATCACCCAGAGAGTCAGGGTGCATTAGAAAGGTTCCCCAAACTCTGAAAAACATGCTTCGCAAATTTTGCACTGAGTCAAGCGGTGAGTGGGATGAGGGGTTGCCACTACTGTTGTTCGCCGTCAGGGAGACATGCCAGGAGTCTTTGGGGTTCAGTCCAGCTGATTTCGTTTTTGGCCACACTATGCGTGGTCCTCTACGTCTTTTGAAAGAGAAATTTCTCTCAGATAGGCATCGTCCACACAAAACATTCTGGACTATGTTAGTTTGTTTAGAGAGAGGCTGCATAATGCCTGCAATTTTGCTCGTGATTCACTAGCAAAGGCTCAGGTCAGAATGAAAACCAATTTTGATAAAAAGTCTGTAGCACGGATGTTCCAGTCAGGTGATCGTGTGTTGGTTTTCTTGCCGGTCGTTGGTTCTCCCCTGCAGGCAAAGTTTTCCGGTCCGTATGTCATTGAGCTCAAACTAAGTGAAACCGATTATGTTGTGTTAACCCCTGATCGTAAGAAGAAAAGTCGCGTCTGTCACATCAACATGCTGAAGGAGTGCATTGATCGTGAACGATCTAGGCTGTCACCTGCTGTGTCACCTATTGTGTCGTGTCCGTCTCTCAACCCTTATATAGTCCCTGCGATGATGGGT